TTCGAAAGAAATAACACTCTTTATTTTAAACACCTTACTACAATATTACTCGCACTCACTATTTATCTCACAGATTACAATCTGTGGATTACTCTCTCTAACTTCTATTTAGATGAAAAACAAAAGCTTCTATTTATAGGAAAAGTTTCCAGATTTGGCTTTCTAAAATCAGATTTGCATCTTTCCAAATCAAATTTGTCTTTTGCAAAATTTGATTTGCAAATTGCACGTTTAAGCCAACTGTTGTCTTCCTTTTCTTTTTCTTTTATTTTTTTTATTTAAATGGGTCCCACATTAACTTGGTTTCAAGATGTTCTTGTTGCAGGGTTCCCAAGAATGAGACCACTGATGATGTTCTTATTGGAAGCGACACCGCCAAACAAGCCTGGAGGAAAATCTCTACTCCGCTAGGGATTATGTTTACTGGAGATAATGTCATAAATTGCTTTTGGCAGTGGTGGAAGGCACCAGCTAAAAACTATGTCCACAAGTATCTTCTCCACATCACACCTAGCATTTTATGCTGCGAAATATGGAAAGCAAGGTGTAAGAGCAAGTATGAGAAAACACAAATATCTTCTAATAGCATTTATCACTATTTTCTATTTCAGGTAAAGGTGACAGTGGAAAAGAAATTCAGCAAAATGGAGCATACCTGGAACTAGAAAGATGTTTGATCCATAGAAAAAAATTACAAACCAAGAATTACTAATATCATGGTGAACTGGAAAAGTACGACTAGTAATTCGTGAAAACTCAAAACAGATGGCAACTATATGAAGTCTCAAAATAAGGCAGGAGCTGGAGGAATTTTTAGAAATAGAAATGGGGACATGATTATGGCTTTTGTATATCCCACCCAATTCTACACTAACAATTTTAGTGAAGCTCAAGCAGCTTTAATTGGGATTTCATGGTGTTGTGATAAATAAGTCAACGAGTTGTACTCCATGATAATTGTTAACTTGATCAATGGACAATCCAAACCACCATGGAGATTACAACCAATAAATGAAGCTATCCAGAAAAAGATGAAGCACAGAAACATCCAAGTGAATCATTGTTATAGAGAAGGAAACGAGGTGGCAAATCTGGCAAAGGCAGGCACCACTATACAAGAGAACAAGATATATTTACATGAGAACGATCTTCCTCGAAAAGCTAAAGGACCTTTGAGAATGAACAAGCTGCAGCTTCCATCCTTCAGGAGAAGGGCAAAAAAACACTCCACATGGTGTTAGTCAAATCAGGAGCAAATAAATGCACGTTGACTGATTAAAATCAGTACTAAGAATTACTTATGACCAAATGCTGAATTCATCAATTCTTATTCTAAGCTAGGAGAATTGGAAACAAAAAAGAATAGAAGAACAAAATTTAAAAAAGAAAAAAAAAAGGAAAGAGTTAAAAGAAAAAACAAAGCTTAGGAAAAAAAACAGAAGTGCATACTTGCAATTATTTGAACATGAATACAAGTAACATTATAGCCTGGGAGCAACATAAGAGTACTATGCCCACCTCTTCTTAACCCTAACCTTAAAACCATGTTTCATGTGGAGGATAACAGAGCAATTAGGGGAAACATCATGATCTTTTACCATTTTAATCTCGTAATTATGGATGATAACAGCGGCCATAACTTTTAATTGAGTGAAAGATGTTTCTATCCCTATGCATTTTCTTGGTCCTGCACCAAAAGTCAAAAACTTGTAAGATGCCTCATGTTTTATCGTTCCACACTCTGATATCCATCTCTCTGGCTTGAATTCCGAAGCTTCCTTTCCCCAAATGAATTCCATCCTCCCCATCGCATACAAATTAAACATCACTCTCATCTTGGGATGAACATGGTGACCACTTGGGAGAATATCATGTTTCTGTGGCCTCTTGTGCTGGAATGGAACAGGGGGATACAACCTCATTGTTTCGCACAATGCAGCATGTAAATAAATCACATTTTTCAAATCTTCGGCCGTAAAAAGCTTCCATTTTTCAGCTTCTTCCATGGGGATGATTGTCTTAAGTTGTTCCCTTATATTTTTTTCAACCCCGGGGTATGTGAAAACCAACCAAATAAACCAAGTAAGACAGGAGTTAACTGTATCGCATCCTGCAAACAAGAAGCTAAATATTGTATCCCTCAAAAATTTATTATCAAACTTCAACCCTGTTGTCCTTTCTCCATTATTGACTATGCATAATGTTAATAAGTCAAAACCATCTTCTTGTTGCTTAGATTTTGCTCCTTTGCTCAATTCTTCACGTTTCATCAATATAAATTTTTCTATAATTTGGTCAACAACTTCCACAGCTTTACTTAGCTTCTTTTCTTGCCCAACTCCAAGCCATTTTTGCAACTTCCAAATATTCTCTGGCAATAAATGGCGTATGACTATAACATAATCAATATCTTCCATAACTTTCACAAATGGAACATATGGGAACTCAAGAGAGAGGCAACCAAGATCAAAGCCTGTGACTACTTTACATATTGTATCAAAGGTCAACCTCTTGAAAATATCTTACAAATCAAAAATTCTATCTTCTTTAGCCATGAATTCAAGAATCGGAATCAGGCCATCTTTGACCTTGTCATCAATAGTTTTTATCAAACACTTGTGATATCTCTGATTAATCATCAGTTCTTTGGCATATTTGCTTTGTTTCTTCCATAAATCAAAGTCAGAATTAAAAATCCCATCACCAAAAGCATCAAAAATCTTCTTGAATTCTGGCCCTTTTGGAAAATTTGAAGAATTTGTACTCATTATATAATGTACATTTGCAGGATCTACTGTGCCAAGCATGTCCATATTAGTAAACCAAGGGCCTTTCAGCAAGAAAGTACCTCCAGTTTTTGAAAGAACCTCTTTAGCCACTTCATGGATTTTGTGTATATTGAGAAGAAGGGCTGGGAACATCCCCAGAAATGGATAATTCCTTGGTAGGCCATTATTTCCTAAAGCCCAGAATATAAGAAAGAAAAACATTGCTATAAATATTTCAAGGTACCCTATTGAGGCTATCAGAGAACTAAAAGCCATTTCTTTCGTAATGTGAATTCTTTTGGCAGTTTTTTCACTTGATGCTTCTTGTTATATGAACAACACTCTATTCTATTTATAGCTAGGGATCCAAGATTGGAATATGTGCATAGCCATGTGATTATATATATGACTCAAGTGTCCATCGATCATTCAGATTTTAGTTTAACTAATTTTCATTGATGCATGGATAAATAATTCATTTTGTAATGTAACAGATAACGTGTCTTATTTTCAAAATTATAAATTTTACTTGTTATAGAGTTACTTGTAGACTTTTGAATGACTTGATAATATAAAAATACCTTTACACTGTCAGTGTGTAGAAGTTAAAATCTGTAGAGTTGTATGATTCTTGTGTGTGCGCGCGCATAGTACGTAGTTCGTTTTTTTTATACTAGTTTCTATACTGGAAGTCAGCCAAAACGTTTTATGCTGCGAGTAACTTTTTACGTCAGAAAGCTATGAAATTATAGAAAAAACAACAAAATACCGTTGTTTGCACTCATTTAATATTAAATCTCTAAACCTTCCTTGTCCGCGAATGTTACCATTCGTGTCCCTTACGCCACGACGTCGTGAGATATCACGTGGAGAGTTAAACCACTTCGATATCTCAAGCAATAAGGAATATGGAGTGATGAATATGAATCTTTCACGCTTAAGTATTTCTAGTGTTGGAAATAAATGAAATTTTTGGTATGGAGCTCTTTCCCCTTTTAATTCTTTTGAAGTTTTTTTTAATTTATAGACATTGAAAATTTGTCAAATTAGTGCATAAAAAAATTTGGACTATGGCCTCCACAAGATGAGCTCATTAGGGTTAAGTCTTTGGTGACTACTCCACCGAAACCCTAATTCATGTCTATGAATAAGGATATACTTATCCTTAAAAAATGATCTCATCAATTCCATAAATTCTCGGAATATGTCAAAAAAGAGATCAAATATACGATCTCCGAAATTGTATAAAGCTCTTAGAATATTCATTAAGAGATCAAAGACATGTCAAATATGTCTTGCTCAAAGTTCTAGCAATATTCAAGATCCAAATTGAGTGTTGCTACATACTTCTTGATCATCAAATATATTAAGGAGATGCATATCATCCTACATTTTGAGCAATCGAATTACGGAAAACAAATCGGAGGGAAGAATCAAGAGATAAACAGAATTGTGTAACCCGCAATATTTATCAATAAAATTATTTTTTTTTATAGTTGTTTGTGAATGTAGTTTATTTTTCTACAAAAATTTATTGCTAACACTCATTTTTCCTTCTATTAGGTAGGTTGTGCTTTTGTCAGGGTATATTGATCAATAATATGGATATATTCGGTACGTTCTAAGCTAATTCAATTTGCTGTTTTGAATTTTTGTTTATAAATAGCCAAATAGTTAGACTGAAATTGGTCTGTTTTGTTAAATATTCTCTCTCTTGATTCGACACTATTGAGTAAAGTTATTAAGAAAAGAAAGTGTCAAGATAAAATATGAGCCTATCAAACAGATAACTTGGTGATGAAAAGCATAGCTCAATTCTCTTTGATAGCTCATCTTAATGAAATTTATTTTTATAAAGTTTAATCACTTTGTCCATATGTTTTAAATGCAAAATAGCAACAATAATTACACCTCAATTCCAATCCTCATTTCTTTCTTTAACGTTGATAACACATATAGACATAACGACAAGCAATCTCATGGAAGCCATAATCAAATCAGGAGCAAATAAACGCACATTGACTGATTAAAATCAGTAAGAATTACTTATGACCAAATGCAACTGCATTCATCAATTCTTATTCTAAACTTTTGGGAAACAGAAATGAATAGAAGAACAAAATTAAAGAAAAGAAAAAGTTAAAACAATAACAAAAAGAAGATCACTGCATACTGAAAATTATTTGAGCATGAACACAAGTAACATTACAGCTTGAGAGCAACAAAAAAGTACTATGCCCATCTCTTCTTAACCCTAACCTTAAAACCATGTTTCATGTGGAGGATAATGGAACAATTAGGGGAAACATCATGATCTTTTACCATTTTAATCTCGTAATTATGGATGATTGCAGCGGCCATAACTTTTAATTGAGTGAAAGATGTTTCTATCCCTATGCATTTTCTTGGTCCTGCACCAAAAGTCAAAAACTTGTAAGATGCCTCATGTTTTATCGTTCCACACTCTGATATCCATCTCTCTGGCTTGAATTCCGAAGCTTCCTTTCCCCAAATGAATTCCATCCTCCCCATCGCATACAAATTAAACATCACTCTCATCTTGGGATGAACATGGTGACCACTTGGGAGAATATCATGTTTCTGTGGCCTCTTGTGCTGGAATGGAACAGGGGGATACAACCTCATTGTTTCGCACAATGCAGCATGTAAATAAATCACATTTTTCAAATCTTCTGCCGTAAAAAACTTCCATTTTTCAGTTTCTTCCACGGGGATGATTGCCTTAAGTTCTTCTCTTATATTCCTTTCAACCTCAGGGTGTGCGAAAACCAGCCAAATGAACCAAGTAAGGCAGGAGTTAACTCCATCACGTCCGGCAAACAAGAAGCTAAATATTGTATCCCTCAAAAATTTATTATCAAACTTCAACCCTGTTGTCCTTTCTCCATCATTAACTATGCATAATGTTAATAAGTCAAAACCAACTTCTTGTTGCTTAGATTTTGCTCCATTGCTCAACTCTTCACGTTTCATCAATATAAACTTTTCTATAATTTGGTCAACAACTTCCACAGCTTTGCTTAGTTTCTTTTCTGGCCCAACTCCAAGCCATTTTTGCAGCTTCCAAATACTCTCCGGCAATAAATGGCGTATGACTATAACATAATCAATATCTTCCATAGCTTTCACAAATGGAACGCATGGGAACTCAAGAGAAAGGCAACCAGGATCAAAGCCAGTGACTACTTTACATATTGTATCAAAGGTTAACCTCTTGAAAATATCTTGCAAATCAAAAATTTTATCTTCTTTAGCCATGAAATCAAGAATCGGTATCAGGCCATCTTTGACCTTGTCGTTAATGGTTTTTATCAAACATTTGTGGTATTTCTGATTACTGACCAGTTCTTTGGCATATTTGCTTTGTTTCTTCCATAAATCAAAGTCAGAATTAAAAATTCCATCACCAAAAGCATCAAAAATCTTCTTGAATTCTGGTCCTTTTGGAAAATTTGAAGAATTTGTACTCATAATATAATGTACATTTACAGGATCTACTGTGCCAAGCATGTCCATATTAGTAAACCAAGGGCCTTTCAACAAGAAAGTACCTCCAGTTTTTGAAAGAACTTCTGTAATCTTTTCATGGATTCTGTGTATATTGAGAAGTAGGGTTGGAAACATTCCGAGAAATGGATAATTTCTTGGTAGGTCATTTTTGGTATTTCCTATAGCCCAGAATACAAGAAAGAAAAAGATTGCTATAAAGATTTCAAGGTACCCTACTGAGGTTAATAGAGAACTGAAAGCCATTTCTTTCATAATGTGTATTCTTTTTTGGAGCTTTTCCCACTTGATGCTTATATATAAACAACCCTCTTATTCTATGAGTATTATACTATTATATAGGGTTTCAAGATGGGAATATGTATAACCACGGGGTTTCGGATCAATAGAAAGAATCAATATATTATTTTCTTGCCTATATTTTTAGGGTTTTAACTTATGCGAGGAGCCGAATGATATGCCAGCGCTACTAATTGAGTGCCAGCATCTAGCTGTGCTGTCAGTAAGAAGGTAACCGGTGCCTTTTATTAGGCTTCACCTAATTTTCACTTAAGGACTTTTAGCCACCTTCTTTTCATTCTACGACGCCGGTACAACAACAACAACACCAAGCCCAACGTAATATCATAAGTGGGTCGGAGTAGGGTAGTGTTTATGCAGACCTTACCCCGATTTTCAGAAGGTAGAAAAATTATTTCCGATAGATCATCGGTTCAAAAAAAGATGAAAAAAGCAGCAGTAACAACAAACAGTAACAACAACAAGATAGCAAAAAACCAAAGTGGAAAAAACAAGTAGTAACATAAATCGACGAGTCAAAAATACAAGACTATACTAATGCTACTTGTGCCGAAAAGAAAAGCACTCGACCATATATTTACCGTACAATATAATAAATTTTTACTGTATCAAGTCGCTCAATAGACAACCCTTAAGAACAAGAAGGATTTGTATTCTATAAAATAAGGAAACTTACCTACTAGTACAAACATGTACATGTGATATAATAGGGTAAATATTTTTTAAACTATCAACAAATATTTGGACAAAATTACCATCTCACTTCTTGTAGAAGGACGATGTATATAAGTTAAACTTATGTATCAGTGTTAGCCAAGTTCTTCTACGCTACGTAAGAACTATGAAATTCGTGAAAAGTATTCTTATGGCAACAAATGTCATTGGTTAAGAATAATCTCAGTGCCAATAATTCTTAGAACAAAGTTTCCAGCTTGCGATTAACTGGACTTTCTTGGAATCCAACAAAGTTGAAAATATAAAATTTTCCAAATCTTCAATATTACTCTTACAATTGGGACTAGCTATTCTCCAGCCTCTGTTTGATCTCTTCTTCTTTTTCTGAATTATGTAGCTTAATTTCATCTTCTAAATACTTTTGCCGTCCCAACACCTCCGCTACCAAAAAAACAAAAAAGAAATTAGCAATGACAGATTATCAAACAATTCAGCCAGATACGAGCTATTTAGCGACGAAGTTCATAGCTAATTCTTGTTCATACACCAAGCCGATAATCCGAGTCAAACCGAGAAAAAAAAACCCGACTATGGTTTGGTATTAGCAAAAAACCCTGACCATAATTGGTTTAATTTGGTTTTAACTCAAAAAAGTCAAACCGAAACCAAACCAACCCGACATTACATGTATACAAGTTTTAAAAATATTTTATTCATAAAAATAATTATTATAATGTAATTTATAAATATAATTTAAGCTCTTTAATAATTCTCTATTTTAATGTATTATTTCAAGCTTGCACTTAGAACTTTTGAATGGTCAAATATGTTTTATAGCTCATGAAAGTTAGTAACTCAAATAAAGCCCAAAGCAAAATCAAATCAATACTAATGCTAAAAAAAAAAACTCAATTCAATACTAGAAATGACAATAGTATTGAATTTTTTTATTTTTTTTTTAGTTTTGCATTGATTTAGATAGTGAAAATGCATAACTCACCTTTAATATTATTTAGTCATGTAATTAACACTTAGTACTTATTGGTCGTACTTATCTAACATAACTTAGAACTTTCAGATTATGTTTATTTTTATTATGACTTATTAATTAGCAATAATCATGACTCATCTCACATTATTTTGTATTATTTTATTGGGTAACATCTTATATAGTTTTANTGATTTTAATCAAAAACCGATCAAACCGAACCGTGAACACCCCTAATGATTCCTTTTCAGTTTCAACGAGAACATATAACTCTTGAAGATTTAAGAGTTTTACTTAAACTTTTTATTNATTAATTAGCAATAATCATGACTCATCTCACATTATTTTGTATTATTTTATTGGGTAACATCTTATATAGTTTTATCCTACTAGGATCGAAAAAATATTAGAGCACAAATTATAAATTTTATGTTGTGAAGATTTTGTCGGAAAAAAAAACTCGAAAAATCCGAAAAACTCAAGAAAACCCATGATTGAAAAATCCGACTTTTGTTGGTTTGGTTTGATTTATAAATTTAAAAATCCGAGACTATTGATTTTGATTTGTAATTGAAAAATCCGAACCAAATGTCATATACAACATTTTTAATTGGTAATGTAAAAGACATTAATGTGTAGCGAGTTTTATGTTAACTAGTCTTTGGGTACGTGCCTTGCGCGTGTATCATATCTCAATGAGATAGTATTTTTAAAATATGACATAAATATTAAATATTTAATAATTTTGTGCTTACGTTATAAAACAAAAATTCATATTCCTAAAAATAATGAATGTTCATCTTATATAGCTAAGTCAATAAAAAAAGAAATTGCCTTATGTATGTTCTCACTGATTAGTCGATGTATTCACAACCTAAATTTATTTTAGCTTTATAATTTCAGCNGGAGGCAGAAGAATGAATAAGTTTCATAATGTTACTTGTAAATAAAAGAGTTTTTCTATTGTAATAAATAACTATGGCACACAAGCAAACGAAGAACTACCGAAAAAATATAACTCACAAGTAATTCATCTAACACTTGCAAAAGAATTGTCAAAATATTTAATATCTTCATGGTTTCAATTGCTTCGTTCAAAACCAAAAAAACAGACTGGACAAATTTGTGAAGAAAGCATACAATNTGATTTGGATTGGTTATGATTTTAAATTTTAAAAACCGATAATATTTTATTTGGTTTTGGTTCTATTATAAAAAACCGAAAAATAAACCGAACCAAACCGATTAACTATAGACAAAATTTAATAATTATTTATATACAATATAATATCTTTTTTCTAAATAATATTAAATATTTTATGCAATTTAATTGTTATTTTGAATTTTGATTTATCCTACTTATATCTTAAAAGATTGCCTAATCCCAAAATAATAGGAATCGGCCAATTTTCTTTTCATTAAGAGACTTTAATTCTCTAACCCTCCGCACATACTTTTGCCTAACAAAAGAGTTAAAAAAAATCATACCATAAGAGTAAAGAAAGCAAACTCAAATTGCAGGACTGCAGTGGCTAAAGCTTGAGAAAGCAAACTTTAGTTTATTTTTTTGTTCATTCTTTTCATCTAAAGAGGTAAATAAACTTTCAGTTCCGGAAGAAATATATAAAAAGCATAAATTTAGCAAATTATTTTCAGATTATTGTATAGTGTTGTTTCACTATTATCGACTTATTATTAGCTTACTAAGAACCGAAAACCGAACNTAGGGTAAAAAAGGCGAACGATATTTCGTTAAGGGCCTTTGTGCTTTTAATATAGTATAGATTCGTTTTTAAAACTAGTTTCTTTACTGGAAGACAATAAAAACGTTTAGAAAAGTAACAAATGCCAGTGATTTGCACTTTGCACCCATTTTACTCCTGTCTTCTGGTCTGGTTTCCAAAAATATTACTACTAAAATCTTTAAGCCTTTGTTGTCCTAGAATATCTTCACTGACATTAATGTTACTATTTGTGTCCCTTACGCAACGACGTCGTGAGCTATCACGTGGCCCAATTAATCATACGAGATCAGTTCTATTATTGTCATTATTGTTAGTAGTAAGTTTTACTAAAGAAAGACTTTGCAATCAAAAATAGCAAGTCTTTCTTACTTGTATAAAACATCCAAAAGTATTCGTTAGCGGAATAGCCGAATCAATTTGGGAGAAATTTAAAAATAGTCAGATTTACAACTAGTCATTCAAAAATAGTCAGTTTCAAAAGTAATCGAAATTTAGCCATTTTTCATGTAAAGATAAATCTGAGCGAAAACACTGATCAAAACCCGGAAAATACACCCGTATATTATACTGGAGTTCCAGCATAAGTATGTTTGAACTCCAACATATTATACGAGAGTTCCAGGATAACTATGCTGGAACTCCAGCATAATATGTTAGAGTTCCAGCATAAGTACACTAGAACTCCAGCATAATATACTGGAGTTGCAGCAAGTATAAATGTCCATTATAATATACTGGAGTTCGGAGCACCGGTGCTCCAGTCTCCCGTATATTATACAGGAGTCAGCAAAATATACCGGTCCAGCATAATATGCTGGAGTTCGTACACAAATGCATCGAACTCCCGTATATTATGCGGGACCGGTCTCTGTTGCAGCAAAATAATGGCTATTTTTCATTGACTTCATAAATGGTGACTATTTTTGAATGACCAGTCCGAAAACTGGCTATACAGTGCTATTTTAACAATCAACTTGGTTGGATTATATTTGGAATCCAACGAAGTTGAAAGTATAAAATTTTCCAAAATAGTACTTATTGTGACGATCGTGGGTTAATTAACACACAATCATACACAAAGCAAATAGAGAAAAAAAATCAACACGAGAATTTAAAGAGGTTCGGCTACACCTAATCCTCGGGGCAGAAGCAGAGAGAGTTTTCTATTATGAATGAGAAGAAAAACACAATACAATCTATAGAATCCCTAACTACAATCCCTATATTAGATCCCAAATTGTCTTAAACCTATAGGAGAAAGGTTTTCCAATTTGGCAAGGACAATAGGTTTTCTTTTTCCAAATCTATTACGACAACGAGTTTTCCGAAACCTATATGGATTATGGGTTTCCTAAAAATACAAGAAAATAATTCAAGCCACAAAATAACAAATCTTCCCCTTGGCTTGAATTCTCTTTACCAACAGGAACAACATCTCTCTACCTTGCCCTCGGCCCTCGTAAAGGCTCTACCCATTTTTGCACACATCAACCAAGTCTAGGCAATGCCTAAACTTGTTAAAGACTCAATCTCTTTAA